ATTTCCCAGCTCCCAGCTCCTGGAGGACGCCGTTCGCCAGCAGCGCTCGGTGCTGGCCGCGCTGGTGCAGCGCCTGGGGAGCAAACACGCCGTGCTGCAGCGCTCCACCAAGGAGCTGCGTGGTTTGTGGGTGTCCCCCGTGTCCCCCCCGTGTCATCCCCGGTGTCCCCCGCGTCCCCCCCGTGGTGCCCCCCCCGCCCGTGTCCCCCGTGTGTCCCCCGCGTCCCCTGACCCGCCGTGTCCGGCAGTATCCGGCGGGTGACGGACGTGCAGCAGCGCGTGCAGGTGGAGGTGAAGATGGCCATCCTGCAGATCATGAAGGAGCTCAACAAGCGCGGGAAGGTGTTGGTCAGCGACGCCCAGGTGAGCGCCGTGTCCCCCACGTGTGGCACCGGGTGTCCCCCTGTGTGTCCCCCTGTGTGTGTCCCCCTGGGTGTCCCCCTGTGTGTGTCCCTGTGTGTGTCCCCCTGGGTGTCCCCATATCCCTGGGTGTGTCCCTGCAAGTGTCCCCATGTGTGTCCCCATGTCCCTGTGTGTGTCCCTGGGTGTGTCCCCATGTGTGTCCCCATGTCCCCGCGTGTGTCCCCGCATGTGTCCCTACGTTCCTGTGTGTGTCCCCATATCCCTGTGTGTGTCCCTGGGTGTGTCCCCTTGTATGTCCCCACGTGTGTCCCCGTGTGTGTCCCTGTGTGTGTCACCATGTCCCTGTGTGTGTCCCCGCGTCCCTGCGTGTGTCACCGGGTGTCCCCCTGTGTATGTCCCTGTGTGTGTCCCCGTGTGTGTCCCCATGTCCCCACGTGTGTCCCCGCGTGTGTCCCCGTGCGTGTCCCCGCGTGTCCCCCTGTGTGTCCCTGTGTGTGTCCCCATGTCCCCGTGTGTGTCACCGCGTGTGTCCCCATGTCCCGGTGTGTCCCTGTGTGTGTCCCTGCGGCACAGTGACAGCGCTGTCCCCGTGTGTGTCCCCCTGTGTGTGTGTCCCCATGTCCCCCCGCGTGTCCCCCTGTGTGTCCCTGTGTGTGTCCCCCTGTGTGTCCCCGCGGTGTGGTGACACTGCTGTCCCCTGGCTGTCCCCGCAGCGGGTGACAGAGGGGCAGCAGGAGCGGCTGCAGCGGCAGCACCGCGCCCTGAGCCGGGCGCAGCGGCAGCAGGAGCACGTCCTGCGCTTCGCGGCGCGCGCCCTCGACGGCCCCCACGGCACCGCCCTGCTGCTCTCCAGGAGGCTGGTAAGGGGCTGCGACCCCCCAAAAGCCCCCCCGGGCCCCCAGATGGCTCCTCCTGCAGCGGGTGGCACCTGGGGACACTTGGGGACACTTGGGGACAGCTGTGTCCCCCTGTCACCGGGACCCTGGCTCTCAGAGTGAAGCCATCCCCGGGCTGTACTGGGCAGCCAGGAACCCCCCAAATTCCCCTCAGAGCCCCCCCAAACTGGCACCTCGGGCTGGAGGACCCCCAGGAGTGGCACTTGGGGACACCTGGGGACAGCTGTGTCCCTTGTCACCCGGACTCCGTGCTCTCGGAGTGAAGCCACCCCTGGGTTGTGCCTCATCTCACCTGGGGTCCGGTGTCCCCTGTGTCCCGTTCTGGGGGTCACAGGACAGTCCCCAAGGGGTGGTTTGTCCCCAGGTGTCCCCCGTGTCCCCTGCTGCCACTTCACCGCTGTCCCACGCTGCTGTGGGCAGGGGTTGTCCACGGCAGGTCCCCTCAGAACGTCTGGGAGGTGACAGGTGCCACCAGGCTGCCACACCGCGTCCCCCTGGGTTGTGACACCGTCCCTGGGGTGCTGTCCCCACCACGCTGTGCCAGCCCCCGGGCAGTGTCCCCTGTGGTGTCCCCTCTGTCCCAGATCCACTCGCAGCTGCTCCGGCTGCTCCGGGTCATGGTGGAGCCGCTGGAGCCCCAGGGGGACATGAAATTCCAGTGGAACCTGCAGGCCTGGACCAAGAGCGCCGAGAGCTTCGGTGAGGGGACACCACGGGGGACACCACACAGGGGACACCACGGGGGACACCACGGGGGACACCACACAGGGGACACCACGGGGGACACCACGGGGGACACTGCAGGGGACACTGCAGGGGACAGCAGAGGGGACACCACACAGGGGACACCACGGGGGAAACCACAGGGGACACCAGGGACAGGAGGGACAGGAGTGTCGTGTGACAAGGTACAGGGGGTCCCAAGGTGAGGGGTGACAAGGGACAGGAGGTCCCAGGGTGAGTGGGACAGGGGGTCCCAGAGGGGGTGACAGGGGACAGGATGTCCCAGGGAGGGGTGACAAGGGACAGGAGGTCCCAGGGTGAGTGGGACAGGGGGTCCCAGGGTGAGGGGTGACAGGGGACAGGGGGTCCCAGGGAAGGGGTGACAGGGGACAGGGGGTCCCAGGGAGAGGGGGATAGGGGTCCTAGAGAGGAGGGGACAGGGGGTCCCAGGGAAGGGGTGACAAGGCACAAGGGGTGTCAGGGGACCCCAGAGCCACCCTGACACCCCTCTTCCCCCCAGGCACCATCATTTCGGAGCATCCCCTCCCCCCCTCGCTGAGTCCCCCGCCCTCGCTGAGCCCCCCTGCTGCCAGCCCCCAGGACCCCTCCCCCACCTTGCAGGTACTTCGAGGGGACATTTCCCGGGGTCCCACCCTCCCTGGGAACCCCCTGGTGACGTTCCCCCCGATGTCCTGCAGGGCCACCCCCAGGCCACAGTGGTCAGTGGGGGACAGGTGACCCCCGAGCTGCTCCTGCAGGAGCAGGAGCCCCCCTGGGCCCCCCTCTGTGGGGCCGAGGGCCTGGAGTGTCCCCCCCAGCTGTCCCCCCCACACCTGGACCTGCAGCTGGCCGAGACCCCCGAGCTGGGTGAGTTTTGGGGGGACACGGGGAGGGGGGACACAGCGGGACACCCCTGACATGGCGTTTGTCACCAGCCGCCAGCCCCTCTGAGAACGCCGACACTGGAGTGAAGAGGTGAGCGACGGGAGGTCCCTTGTCCCCCTTTTGTCACCCTCTGTCCTGCTCCGTTCTGTCCCTTGTCACCTTTCCATCCTGGTGTCCTTCCTGTCCTTGTCACTCCGTGTCCTGGCCCACGCTGTCCCCTGTCAGCCTTCCCCAGGAAAGCTGTCCCTTGTCACCTCCCCTGGACCCCCCCGTCCTTTGTCACCCCCAGCCTGGTCCCTGCTGTCCCTTGTCACAAGGGTGACATTTGGGTGTTCCCGGAGCCCTCCTGGCTGCCCTGACACCGCCCCCCTCCCGTTATCCAGGACAAAACCCGGGAGTTCTCCCAGGGAGGAGAAGTTCGTTAAGAAGCTGCTCATTAAGCGGTAATTAGAGGATGGGGGAGGGGAAGATGGACCTCTGGGACCCCTCTGTCCTTTGTCATCTCTGTCCAGGGCCACCTGCAGCCCCTCCCATCCTGTCCCTTCCACAAGGTCCCTTGGCCAGGACATCCCTGTCCCCTGTTCCTGGGGTCCCCCTGTGCCAGGGGTCAGTCATGACCCCCCATCCCTTGTCCCCAACACTCCTGACCCTTGTCACTGTCCCCTCAATGTCCCCAACACTCCCAAGCTTTGTCACTGTCCCTGGGCTCTCCTGTCCCCAGCACTCCTGAGCCTTGTCACTGTCCCTGGGCTCCTGTCCCCAACACTCCTGATCCTTGTCACTGTCCCTGTCCCCTCCCTGTCTCCAACACTCCCAAGCTTTGTCACTGTCCCTGGGCTCTCCTGTCCCCAACACTCCTGATCCTTGTCACTGTCCCTGGGCTCCTGTCTCCCACACTCCCCA